TGGATAATCTTTTCGCGTTCCAATAGTCTCTCAAAAGTCTTGAAACAGCTTCATAAACCTGAAAAATAGAACAAAAAATCATTAAAAATGGATTTATTTTCATAGAAAATTTAATTCTTACCTTTTCAGTATTCATTTTGAAGGCAGAGTAGTCTTGAAAACAGAAGAAAACGGTCGAAATATCAAAGAAACTCTTCAAATTGTCCAAATTAGCTATATGGATAATCTTTTCGCGTTCCAATAGTCTCTCGAAAGTCTTGAAACAGCTTCATAAACCTGAAAAATAGAACAAAAAATCATTAAAAATGGATTTATTTTCATAGAAAATTTAATTCTTACCTTTTCAGTATTCATTTTGAAGGCAGAGTAGTCTTGAAAACAGAAGAAAACGGTCGAAATTCCAAAGAAACTCTTCAAATTGTCCAAATTAGCTATATGGATAATCTTTTCGCGTTCCAATAGTCTCAAAAGTCTTGAAACAGCTTCATAAACCTGAAAAATAGAACAAAAAATCATTAAAAATGGATTTATTTTCATAGAAAATTTAATTCTTACCTTTTCTGTATTCATTTTGAAGGCAGAGTATTCTTGAAAACAGAAGAAAACGGTCGAAATTCCAAAGAAACTCTTCAAATTGTTCAAATTAGCTATATGGATAATCTTTTCGCGTTCCAATAGTCTCTCAAAAGTCTTGAAACAGCTTCATAAACCTGAAAAATAGAACAAAAATCATTAAAAAAGGTTCATTTTCATAGAAAATTTAATTCTTACCTTTTCAGTATTCATTTTGAAGGCAGAGTAGTCTTGAAAACAGAAGAAAACGGTCGAAATTCCATAGAAACTCTTCAAATTGTCCAAATTAGCTATATGGATAATCTTTTCGCGTTCCAATAGTCTCTCAAAAGTCTTGAAACAGCTTCATAAACCTGAAAAATAGAACAAAAAATCATTAAAAATGGATTTATTTTCATAGAAAATTTAATTCTTACCTTTTCTGTATTCATTTTGAAGGCAGAGTAGTCTTGAAAACAGAAGAAAACGGTCGAAATTCCAAAGAAACTCTTCAAATTGTCCAAATTAGCTATATGGATAATCTTTTCGCGTTCCAATAGTCTCTCAAAAGTCTTGAAACAGCTTCATAAACCTGAAAAATAGAACAAAAAATCATTAAAAATGGATTTATTTTCATAGAAAATTTAATTCTTACCTTTTCAGTATTCATTTTGAAGGCAGAGTAGTCTTGAAAACAGAAGAAAACGGTCGAAATTCCAAAGAAACTCTTCAAATTGTCCAAATTAGCTATATGGATAATCTTTTCGCGTTCCAATAGTCTCTCAAAAGTCTTGACACAGCTTCATAAACCTGAAAAATAGAACAAAAAATCATTAAAAATGGATTTATTTTCATAGAAAATTTAATTCTTACCTTTTCAGTATTCATTTTGAAGGCAGAGTAGTCTTGAAAAAAGAAGAAAACGGTCGAAATTCCAAAGAAACTCTTCAAATTGTCCAAATTAGCTATATGGATAATCTTTTCGCGTTCCAATAGTCTCTCGAAAGTCTTGAAACAGCTTCATAAACCTGAAAAATAGAACAAAAAATCATTAAAAAAAGGTTCATTTTCATAAAAAAATTTAATTCTTACCTTTTCAGTATTCATTTTGAAGGCAGAGTAGTCTTGAAAACAGAAGAAAACGGTCGAAATTCCAAAGAAACTCTTCAAATTGTCCAAATTAGCTATATGGATAATCTTTTCGCGTTCCAATAGTCTCTCAAAAGTCTTGAAACAGCTTCATAAACCTGAAAAATAGAACAAAAAATCATTAAAAATGGATTTATTTTCATAGAAAATTTAATTCTTACCTTTTCAGTATTCATTTTGAAGGCAGAGTAGTCTTGAAAACAGAAGAAAACGGTCGAAATTCCAAAGAAACTCTTCAAATTGTCCAAATTAGCTATATGGATAATCTTTTCGCGTTCCAATAGTCTCTCAAAAGTCTTGAAACAGCTTCATAAACCTGAAAAATAGAACAAAAAATCATTAAAAATGGATTTATTTTCATAGAAAATTTAATTCTTACCTATTCAGTATTCATTTTGAAGGCAGAGTAGTCTTGAAAACAGAAGAAAACGGTCGAAATACCAAAGAAACTCTTCAAATTGTCCAAATTAGCTATATGGATAATCTTTTCGCGTTCCAATAGTCTCTCGAAAGTCTTGAAACAGCTTCATAAACCTGAAAAATAGAACAAAAAATCATTAAAAATGGATTTATTTTCATAGAAAATTTAATTCTTACCTTTTCAGTATTCATTTTGAAGGCAGAGTAGTCTTGAAAACAGAAGAAAACGGTCGAAATTCCAAAGAAACTCTTCAAATTGTCCAAATTAGCTATATGGATAATCTTTTCGCGTTCCAATAGTCTCAAAAGTCTTGAAACAGCTTCATAAACCTGAAAAATAGAACAAAAAATCATTAAAAATGGATTTATTTTCATAGAAAATTTAATTCTTACCTTTTCTGTATTCATTTTGAAGGCAGAGTAGTCTTGAAAACAGAAGAAAACGGTCGAAATTCCAAAGAAACTCTTCAAATTGTTCAAATTAGCTATATGGATAATCTTTTCGCGTTCCAATAGTCTCTCAAAAGTCTTGAAACAGCTTCATAAACCTGAAAAATAGAACAAAAAATCATTAAAAAAGGTTCATTTTCATAGAAAATTTAATTCTTACCTTTTCAGTATTCATTTTGAAGGCAGAGTAGTCTTGAAAACAGAAGAAAACGGTCGAAATTCCAAAGAAACTCTTCAAATTGTCCAAATTAGCTATATGGATAATCTTTTCGCGTTCCAATAGTCTCTCGAAAGTCTTGAAACAGCTTCATAAACCTGAAAAATAGAACAAAAAATCATTAAAAAAGGTTCATTCTCATAGAAAATTTAATTCTTACCTTTTCAGTATTCATTTTGAAGGCAGAGTAGTCTTGAAAACAGAAGAAAACGGTCGAAATTTCAAAGAAACTCTTCAAATTGTCCAAATTAGCTATATGGATAATCTTTTCGCGTTCCAATAGTCTCTCAAAAGTCTTGAAACAGCTTCATAAACCTGAAAAATAGAACAAAAAATCATTAAAAATGGATTTATTTTCATAGAAAATTTAATTCTTACCTTTTCAGTATTCATTTTGAAGGCAGAGTAGTCTTGAAAACAGAAGAAAACGGTCGAAATTCCAAAGAAACTCTTCAAATTGTCCAAATTAGCTATATGGATAATCTTTTCGCGTTCCAATAGTCTCTCAAAAGTCTTGAAACAGCTTCATAAACCTGAAAAATAGAACAAAAAATCATTAAAAATGGATTTATTTTCATAGAAAATTTAATTCTTACCTTTTCTGTATTCATTTTGAAGGCAGAGTAGTCTTGAAAACAGAAGAAAACGGTCGAAATTCCAAAGAAACTCTTCAAATTGTCCAAATTAGCTATATGGATAATCTTTTCGCGTTCCAATAGTCTCTCAAAAGTCTTGAAACAGCTTCATAAACCTGAAAAATAGAACAAAAAATCATTAAAAATGGATTTATTTTCATAGAAAATTTAATTCTTACCTTTTCAGTATTCATTTTGAAGGCAGAGTAGTCTTGAAAACAGAAGAAAACGGTCGAAATTCCAAAGAAACTCTTCAAATTGTCCAAATTAGCTATATGGATAATCTTTTCGCGTTCCAATAGTCTCTCAAAAGTCTTGAAACAGCTTCACAAACCTGAAAAATAGAACAAAAAATCATTAAAAATGGATTTATTTTCATAGAAAATTTAATTCTTACCTTTTCAGTATTCATTTTGAAGGCAGAGTAGTCTTGAAAACAGAAGAAAACGGTCGAAATTCCAAAGAAACTCTTCAAATTGTCCAAATTAGCTATATGGATAATCTTTTCGCGTTCCAATAGTCTCTCAAAAGTCTTGACACAGCTTCATAAACCTGAAAAATAGAACAAAAAATCATTAAAAATGGATTCATTTTCATAGAAAATTTAATTCTTACCTTTTCAGTATTCATTTTGAAGGCAGAGTAGTCTTGAAAAAAGAAGAAAACGGTCGAAATTCCAAAGAAACTCTTCAAATTGTCCAAATTAGCTATATGGATAATCTTTTCGCGTTCCAATAGTCTCTCGAAAGTCTTGAAACAGCTTCATAAACCTGAAAAATAGAACAAAAAATCATTAAAAAAAGGTTCATTTTCATAAAAAAATTTAATTCTTACCTTTTCAGTATTCATTTTGAAGGCAGAGTAGTCTTGAAAACAGAAGAAAACGGTCGAAATTCCAAAGAAACTCTTCAAATTGTCCAAATTAGCTATATGGATAATCTTTTCGCGTTCCAATAGTCTCTCAAAAGTCTTGAAACAGCTTCATAAACCTGAAAAATAGAACAAAAAATCATTAAAAATGGATTTATTTTCATAGAAAATTTAATTCTTACCTTTTCAGTATTCATTTTGAAGGCAGAGTAGTCTTGAAAACAGAAGAAAACGGTCGAAATTCCAAAGAAACTCTTCAAATTGTCCAAATTAGCTATATGGATAATCTTTTCGCGTTCCAATAGTCTCAAAAGTCTTGAAACAGCTTCATAAACCTGAAAAATAGAACAAAAAATCATTAAAAATGGATTTATTTTCATAGAAAATTTAATTCTTACCTTTTCTGTATTCATTTTGAAGGCAGAGTATTCTTGAAAACAGAAGAAAACGGTCGAAATTCCAAAGAAACTCTTCAAATTGTTCAAATTAGCTATATGGATAATCTTTTCGCGTTCCAATAGTCTCTCAAAAGTCTTGAAACAGCTTCATAAACCTGAAAAATAGAACAAAAAATCATTAAAAAAGGTTCATTTTCATAGAAAATTTAATTCTTACCTTTTCAGTATTCATTTTGAAGGCAGAGTAGTCTTGAAAACAGAAGAAAACGGTCGAAATTCCAAAGAAACTCTTCAAATTGTCCAAATTAGCTATATGGATAATCTTTTCGCGTTCCAATAGTCTCTCAAAAGTCTTGAAACAGCTTCATAAACCTGAAAAATAGAACAAAAAATCATTAAAAATGGATTTATTTTCATAGAAAATTTAATTCTTACCTTTTCAGTATTCATTTTGAAGGCAGAGTAGTCTTGAAAACAGAAGAAAACGGTCGAAATACCAAAGAAACTCTTCAAATTGTCCAAATTAGCTATATGGATAATCTTTTCGCGTTCCAATAGTCTCTCGAAAGTCTTGAAACAGCTTCATAAACCTGAAAAATAGAACAAAAAATCATTAACAATGGATTTATTTTCATAGAAAATTTAATTCTTACCTTTTCAGTATTCATTTTGAAGGCAGAGTAGTCTTGAAAACAGAAGAAAACGGTCGAAATTCCAAAGAAACTCTTCAAATTGTCCAAATTAGCTATATGGATAATCTTTTCGCGTTCCAATAGTCTCAAAAGTCTTGAAACAGCTTCATAAACCTGAAAAATAGAACAAAAAATCATTAAAAATGGATTTATTTTCATAGAAAATTTAATTCTTACCTTTTCTGTATTCATTTTGAAGGCAGAGTATTCTTGAAAACAGAAGAAAACGGTCGAAATTCCAAAGAAACTCTTCAAATTGTTCAAATTAGCTATATGGATAATCTTTTCGCGTTCCAATAGTCTCTCAAAAGTCTTGAAACAGCTTCATAAACCTGAAAAATAGAACAAAAAATCATTAAAAAAGGTTCATTTTCATAGAAAATTTAATTCTTACCTTTTCAGTATTCATTTTGAAGGCAGAGTAGTCTTGAAAACAGAAGAAAACGGTCGAAATTCCAAAGAAACTCTTCAAATTGTCCAAATTAGCTATATGGATAATCTTTTCGCGTTCCAATAGTCTCTCAAAAGTCTTGAAACAGCTTCATAAACCTGAAAAATAGAACAAAAAATCATTAAAAATGGATTTATTTTCATAGAAAATTTAATTCTTACCTTTTCAGTATTCATTTTGAAGGCAGAGTAGTCTTGAAAACAGAAGAAAACGGTCGAAATTCCAAAGAAACTCTTCAAATTGTCCAAATTAGCTATATGGATAATCTTTTCGCGTTCCAATAGTCTCTCAAAAGTCTTGAAACAGCTTCATAAACCTGAAAAATAGAACAAAAAATCATTAAAAATGGATTTATTTTCATAGAAAATTTAATTCTTACCTTTTCAGTATTCATTTTGAAGGCAGAGTAGTCTTGAAAACAGAAGAAAACGGTCGAAATTCCAAAGAAACTATTCAAATTGTCCAAATTAGCTATATGGATAATCTTTTCGCGTTCCAATAGTCTCTCGAAAGTCTTGAAACAGCTTCATAAACCTGAAAAATAGAACAAAAAATCATTAAAAAAGGTTCATTTTCATAGAAAATTTAATTCTTACCTTTTCAGTATTCATTTTGAAGGCAGAGTAGTCTTGAAAAAAGAAGAAAACGGTCGAAATACCAAAGAAACTCTTCAAATTGTCCAAATTAGCTATATGGATAATCTTTTCGCGTTCCAATAGTCTCTCAAAAGTCTTGAAACAGCTTCATAAACCTGAAAAATAGAACAAAAAATCATTAAAAATGGATTTATTTTCATAGAAAATTTAATTCTTACCTTTTCAGTATTCATTTTGAAGGCAGAGTAGTCTTGAAAACAGAAGAAAACGGTCGAAATTCCAAAGAAACTCTTCAAATTGTCCAAATTAGCTATATGGATAATCTTTTCGCGTTCCAATAGTCTCAAAAGTCTTGAAACAGCTTCATAAACCTGAAAAATAGAACAAAAAATCATTAAAAATGGATTTATTTTCATAGAAAATTTAATTCTTACCTTTTCTGTATTCATTTTGAAGGCAGAGTATTCTTGAAAACAGAAGAAAACGGTCGAAATTCCAAAGAAACTCTTCAAATTGTTCAAATTAGCTATATGGATAATCTTTTCGCGTTCCAATAGTCTCTCAAAAGTCTTGAAACAGCTTCATAAACCTGAAAAATAGAACAAAAAATCATTAAAAAAGGTTCATTTTCATAGAAAATTTAATTCTTACCTTTTCAGTATTCATTTTGAAGGCAGAGTAGTCTTGAAAACAGAAGAAAACGGTCGAAATTCCAAAGAAACTCTTCAAATTGTCCAAATTAGCTATATGGATAATCTTTTCGCGTTCCAATAGTCTCTCAAAAGTCTTGAAACAGCTTCATAAACCTGAAAAATAGAACAAAAAATCATTAAAAATGGATTTATTTTCATAGAAAATTTAATTCTTACCTTTTCAGTATTCATTTTGAAGGCAGAGTAGTCTTGAAAACAGAAGAAAACGGTCGAAATTCCAAAGAAACTCTTCAAATTGTCCAAATTAGCTATATGGATAATCTTTTCGCGTTCCAATAGTCTCTCAAAAGTCTTGAAACAGCTTCATAAACCTGAAAAATAGAACAAAAAATCATTAAAAATGGATTTATTTTCATAGAAAATTTAATTCTTACCTTTTCAGTATTCATTTTGAAGGCAGAGTAGTCTTGAAAACAGAAAAAAACGGTCGAAATTCCAAAGAAACTCTTCAAATTGTCCAAATTAGCTATATGGATAATCTTTTCGCGTTCCAATAGTCTCTCGAAAGTCTTGAAACAGCTTCATAAACCTGAAAAATAGAACAAAAAATCATTAAAAAAGGTTCATTTTCATAGAAAATTTAATTCTTACCTTTTCAGTATTCATTTTGAAGGCAGAGTAGTCTTGAAAAAAGAAGAAAACGGTCGAAATACCAAAGAAACTCTTCAAATTGTCCAAATTAGCTATATGGATAATCTTTTCGCGTTCCAATAGTCTCTCAAAAGTCTTGAAACAGCTTCATAAACCTGAAAAATAGAACAAAAAATCATTAAAAAAGGTTCATTTTCATAGAAAATTTAATTCTTACCTTTTCAGTATTCATTTTGAAGGCAGAGTAGTCTTGAAAACAGAAGAAAACGGTCGAAATACCAAAGAAACTCTTCAAATTGTCCAAATTAGCTATATGGATAATCTTTTCGCGTTCCAATAGTCTCTCAAAAGTCTTGAAACAGCTTCATAAACCTGAAAAATAGAACAAAAAATCATTAAAAAAGGTTCATTTTCATAGAAAATTTAATTCTTACCTTTTCAGTATTCATTTTGAAGGCAGAGTAGTCTTGAAAACAGAAGAAAACGGTCGAAATTCCAAAGAAACTCTTCAAATTGTCCAAATTAGCTATATGGATAATCTTTTCGCGTTCCAATAGTCTCTCAAAAGTCTTGAAACAGCTTCATAAACCTGAAAAATAGAACAAAAAATCATTAAAAATGGATTTATTTTCATAGAAAATTTAATTCTTACCTTTTCAGTATTCATTTTGAAGGCAGAGTAGTCTTGAAAACAGAAAAAAACGGTCGAAATTCCAAAGAAACTCTTCAAATTGTCCAAATTAGCTATATGGATAATCTTTTCGCGTTCCAATAGTCTCTCAAAAGTCTTGAAACAGCTTCATAAACCTGAAAAATAGAACAAAAAATCATTAAAAAAAGGTTCATTTTCATAGAAAATTTAATTCTTACCTTTTCAGTATTCATTTTGAAGGCAGAGTAGTCTTGAAAAAAGAAGAAAACGGTCGAAATACCAAAGAAACTCTTCAAATTGTCCCAAATTAGCTATATGGATAATCTTTTCGCGTTCCAATAGTCTCTCAAAAGTCTTGAAACAGCTTCATAAACCTGAAAAATAGAACAAAAAATCATTAAAAAAGGTTCATTTTCATAGAAAATTTAATTCTTACCTTTTCAGTATTCATTTTGAAGGCAGAGTAGTCTTGAAAACAGAAGAAAACGGTCGAAATACCAAAGAAACTCTTCAAATTGTCCAAATTAGCTATATGGATAATCTTTTCGCGTTCCAATAGTCTCTCAAAAGTCTTGAAACAGCTTCATAAACCTGAAAAATAGAACAAAAAATCATTAAAAATGGATTTATTTTCATAGAAAATTTAATTCTTACCTTTTCAGTATTCATTTTGAAGGCAGAGTAGTCTTGAAAACAGAAGAAAACGGTCGAAATTCCAAAGAAACTCTTTCAAATTGTCCAAATTAGCTATATGGATAATCTTTTCGCGTTCCAATAGTCTCTCAAAAGTCTTGAAACAGCTTCATAAACCTGAAAAATAGAACAAAAAATCATTTAAAAAAGGTTCATTTTCATAGAAAATTTAATTCTTACCTTTTCAGTATTCATTTTGAAGGCAGAGTAGTCTTGAAAACAGAAGAAAACGGTCGAAATACCAAAGAAACTCTTTCAAATTGTCCAAATTAGCTATATGGATAATCTTTTCGCGTTCCAATAGTCTCTCAAAAGTCTTGAAACAGCTTCATAAACCTGAAAAAATAGAACAAAAAATCATTAAAAATGGATTTATTTTCATAGAAAATTTAATTCTTACCTTTTCAGTATTCATTTTGAAGGCAGAGTAGTCTTGAAAACAGAAGAAAACGGTCGAAATTCCAAAGAAACTCTTCAAATTGTCCAAATTAGCTATATGGATAATCTTTTCGCGTTCCAATAGTCTCAAAAGTCTTGAAACAGCTTCATAAACCTGAAAAATAGAACAAAAAATCATTAAAAATGGATTTATTTTCATAGAAAATTTAATTCTTACCTTTTCTGTATTCATTTTGAAGGCAGAGTATTCTTGAAAACAGAAGAAAAACGGTCGAAATTCCAAAGAAACTCTTCAAATTGTTCAAATTAGCTATATGGATAATCTTTTCGCGTTCCAATAGTCTCTCAAAAGTCTTGAAACAGCTTCATAAACCTGAAAAATAGAACAAAAAATTCATTAAAAAAGGTTCATTTTCATAGAAAATTTAATTCTTACCTTTTCAGTATTCATTTTGAGGCAGAGTAGTCTTGAAAACAGAAGAAAACGGTCGAAATTCCAAAGAAACTCTTCAAATTGTCCAAATTAGCTATATGGATAATCTTTTCGCGTTCCAATAGTCTCTCAAAAGTCTTGAAACAGCTTCATAAACCTGAAAAATAGAACAAAAAATCATTAAAAATGGATTTATTTTCATAGAAAATTTAATTCTTACCTTTTCAGTATTCATTTTGAAGGCAGAGTAGTCTTGAAAACAGAAGAAAACGGTCGAAATTCCAAAGAAACTCTTCAAATTGTCCAAATTAGCTATATGGATAATCTTTTCGCGTTCCAATAGTCTCTCAAAAGTCTTTGAAACAGCTTCATAAACCTGAAAAATAGAACAAAAAATCATTTAAAAATGGATTTATTTTCATAGAAAATTTAATTCTTACCTTTTCTGTATTCATTTTGAAGGCAGAGTATTCTTGAAAACAGAAGAAAAACGGTCGAAATTCCAAAGAAACTCTTCAAATTGTTCAAATTAGCTATATGGATAATCTTTTCGCGTTCCAATAGTCTCTCAAAAGTCTTGAAACAGCTTCATAAACCTGAAAAATAGAACAAAAATCATTAAAAACGGTTCATTTTCATAGAAAATTTAATTCTTACCTTTTCAGTATTCATTTTGAAGGCAGAGTAGTCTTGAAAACAGAAGAAAACGGTCGAAATTCCATAGAAACTCTTCAAATTGTCCAAATTAGCTATATGGATAATCTTTTCGCGTTCCAATAGTCTCTCAAAAGTCTTGAAACAGCTTCATAAACCTGAAAAATAGAACAAAAAATCATTAAAAATGGATTTATTTTCATAGAAAATTTAATTCTTACCTTTTCAGTATTCATTTTGAAGGCAGAGTAGTCTTGAAAACAGAAGAAAACGGTCGAAATTCCAAAGAAACTCTTCAAATTGTCCAAATTAGCTATATGGATAATCTTTTCGCGTTCCAATAGTCTCTCGAAAGTCTTGAAACAGCTTCATAAACCTGAAAAATAGAACAAAAAATCATTAAAAAAGGTTCATTTTCATAGAAAATTTAATTCTTACCTTTTCAGTATTCATTTTGAAGGCAGAGTAGTCTTGAAAACAGAAGAAAACGGTCGAAATACCAAAGAAACTCTTCAAATTGTCCAAATTAGCTATATGGATAATCTTTTCGCGTTCCAATAGTCTCTCAAAAGTCTTGAAACAGCTTCATAAACCTGAAAAATAGAACAAAAAATCATTAAAAATGGATTTATTTTCATAGAAAATTTAATTCTTACCTTTTCAGTATTCATTTTGAAGGCAGAGTAGTCTTGAAAACAGAAGAAAACGGTCGAAATTCCAAAGAAACTCTTCAAATTGTCCAAATTAGCTATATGGATAATCTTTTCGCGTTCCAATAGTCTCTCAAAAGTCTTGAAACAGCTTCATAAACCTGAAAAATAGAACAAAAAATCATTAAAAAAGGTTCATTTTCATAGAAAATTTAATTCTTACCTTTTCAGTATTCATTTTGAAGGCAGAGTAGTCTTGAAAACAGAAGAAAACGGTCGAAATTCCAAAGAAACTCTTCAAATTGTCCAAATTAGCTATATGGATAATCTTTTCGCGTTCCAATAGTCTCTCAAAAGTCTTGAAACAGCTTCATAAACCTGAAAAATAGAACAAAAAATCATTAAAAAAGGTTCATTTTCATAGAAAATTTAATTCTTACCTTTTCAGTATTCATTTTGAAGGCAGAGTAGTCTTGAAAACAGAAGAAAACGGTCGAAATTCCAAAGAAACTCTTCAAATTGTCCAAATTAGCTATATGGATAATCTTTTCGCGTTCCAATAGTCTCTCAAAAGTCTTGAAACAGCTTCATAAACCTGAAAAATAGAACAAAAAATCATTAAAAATGGATTTATTTTCATAGAAAATTTAATTCTTACCTTTTCAGTATTCATTTTGAAGGCAGAGTAGTCTTGAAAACAGAAGAAAACGGTCGAAATTCCAAAGAAACTCTTCAAATTGTCCAAATTAGCTATATGGATAATCTTTTCGCGTTCCAATAGTCTCTCAAAAGTCTTGAAACAGCTTCATAAACCTGAAAAATAGAACAAAAAATCATTAAAAATGGATTTATTTTCATAGAAAATTTAATTCTTACCTTTTCAGTATTCATTTTGAAGGCAGAGTAGTCTTGAAAACAGAAGAAAACGGTCGAAATTCCAAAGAAACTCTTCAAATTGTCCAAATTAGCTATATGGATAATCTTTTCGCGTTCCAATAGTCTCTCAAAAGTCTTGAAACAGCTTTATAAACCTGAAAAATAGAACAAAAAATCATTAAAAATGGGTTCATTCCCATAGAAAATTTAATTCTTACCTTTTCAGTATTCATTTTGAAGACATAATAGTCTTGAAAACGGAAGAAAACTGTCGAAATTCCAAGGAAAATCTCCAAATTATCCAAATTGACTGTAATGCTAGTCGTATCGAGTTCTAATCCTCTTTCATAAGGCTTAAAACAGCTTTATAATCCTGAAAAATAGAAAAAGAATCATTAAAAATGGGTTCAATCTCATAGAAAATTTAATTCTTACCTTTTCAGTATTCATTTTGAAGACATAATAGTCTTGAAAACGGAATAAAACTGTCGAAATTCCAAGGAAAATCTCCAAATTATCCAAATTGACTGTATTGCTAGTCGTATCGAGTTCTAATCCTCTCTCATAAGGCTTAAAACAGCTTTATAATCCTGAAAAATAGAAAAAGAATCATTAAAAATGGGTTCAATCTCATAGAAAATTTAATTCTTACCTTTTCAGTATTCATTTTGAAGACATAATAGTCTTGAAAACGGAAGAAAACTGTCGAAATTCCAAGGAAAATCTCCAAATTATCCAAATTGACTGTATTGCTAGTCGTATCGAGTTCTAATCCTCTCTCATAAGGCTTAAAACAGCTTTATAATCCTGAAAAATAGAAAAAGAATCATTAAAAATGGGTTCAATCTCATAGAAAATTTAATTCTTACCTTTTCAGTATTCATTTTGAAGACATGATAGTCTTGAAAACGGAATAAAACTGTCGAAATTCCAAGGAAAATCTCCAAATTATCCAAATTGACTGTATTGCTAGTCGTATCGAGTTCTAATCCTCTCTCATAAGGCTTAAAACAGCTTTATAATCCTGAAAAATAGAAAAAGAATCATTAAAAATGGGTTCAATCTCATAGAAAATTTAATTCTTACCTTTTCAGTATTCATTTTGAAGACATGATAGTCTTGAAAACGGAAGAAAACAGTCGAAATTCCAAGGAAAATCTCCAAATTATCCAAATTGACTGTATTGCTAGTCGTATCGAGTTCTAATCCTCTCTCATAAGGCTTAAAACAGCTTTATAATCCTGAAAAATAGAAAAAGAATCATTAAAAATGGGTTCATTCCCATAGAAAATTTAATTCTTACCTTTTCAGTATTCATTTTGAAGACATAATAGTCTTGAAAACGGAAGAAAACTGTCGAAATTCCAAGGAAAATCTACAAATTATCCAAATTGACTGTATTGCTAGTCGTATCGAGTTCTAATCCTCTCTCATAAGGCTTAAAACAGCTTTATAATGTAACGTTCTAAAATCTCCCCACAATAATCATTAATTCTATTACACATTTTAAATTCACTAATTGATTGTATTGAAGATTTGTTTACCTTTTGGAATAACTAGGGTTAATTATTCTACGAGTACGTTCGTTTGTCCAACAATAAATTCTTCTGTTTATTGTTATTTGACATTTGTCTTTGTGTTCTTGGCGAGTTAGTGTTCTGAGTAATTGACACTTCTAAAGGGTTATTTAGGTTGTTCCGTGGTTCCGCTGGTTCCATTTTGATTTTGGTCTTCGAGGCGGACAGACTCGTGGTATTACATTTTTAGTAATCGGGAAACATCTCGTATTTTCTACGGTCTGTCTGAAAATATTTAACTTCGTTAGTTGTTTGGAGCCTTGTGCTATTTGATTTACCGTGTATTTTTGGCGTTAACGTAAGTTAAATCCGTTATTCGGGATCTATATCCTCTTGACCAAATCAACCACGTTTCGATCCCCGACTTAGAACACTAGGGGTAAGTCTTGTCTTCGTTCCTGTTGCAATCGTTAATTGTGTGTTTCTTAGGATCAATTTTTATTACTACTATTATTTTGAGTTGGATTTTCCAATCCGTATTTCCTTGGATCTTCCGTGGGGTTATTCGTATTTAACTGTCTTCTGATTGAACTGGGACCGATTCCGGCGTCACTTTGACCGCCTGTAGTTGCGACCGATAGCTGATTCGACAAGGTTCACCTGTTGTCCCGAGTATCTGTACTCTTATGTGACACCCAGACCGTCACCAGGAACCTTGGGAAGTTTACCACGTGGGATCCGTCCGCCGTTTTCGGAGAAGTTTTATTATAATCATTTTAATTTATCGTAGTTAAAGTTCTTTTACTTATTGTTAAATTCATCTTCACGTACAGTATCAATTTTATTATCGTTAAATTCATATTCTAATTCAGTACAATAGTTAATTAATTTTCTTTTGTTAATAACGAAAATTCGACTCGCCTTTACCGTTTCGTAATTACTCTGTGAATTATAGATATTCCTTTGGATCTGGACCCCAACTGATCGATCAATTGGAGGACCCAGCTGTATCGCTATAGTATATTGACTTCGCAGAACTTCGTTTTACTTTGAACCATCCGGTTGACCGGATAACCATCGGTAAGTAGAATTTGATTTATACCGTGACTGCTATCTCGTACTGTTTGGAATTTCTTAATAACTATCTTCCTATTTCTTAGTTTTCTCTTAATATTTTTTTTGTATTGTATTCTATTATTTCTTTCGCTATTGTATTAAATTAAATACCTATAGAGTTACTAAAAGTGTGTACTATCAATTCCTTGTTAAGTTGGGAGTTGATATAAGATTATATTGTTAAGGGCACTTGGTCAACTTAACTGGCGCCAGTTTTATATCTAAATATCATTTAATTTTGACTCACTCCCGTCTTATCTGAGTGTAGCCGCGTGTCCGGATGTTCAAGTCATCCACCTAAGTAACGAAATATATATTTACCGTTTTATTTTTGTAGTTATTTTATTAAAGGGGTAAAATTTTAACGTTACAATAATCCTGAAAAATAGAAAAAGAATCGTTAAAAATGGGTTCATTCCCATAGAAAATTTAATTCTTACCTTTTCAGTATTCATTTTGAAGACATGATAGTCTTGAAAACGGAATAAAACTGTCGAAATTCCAAGGAAAATCTCCAAATTATCCAAATTGACTGTATTGCTAGTCGTATCGAGTTCTAATCCTCTCTCATAAGGCTTAAAACAGCTTTATAATCCTGAAAAATAGAAAAAGAATCATTAAAAATGGGTTCAATCTCATAGAAAATTTAATTCTTACCTTTTCAGTATTCATTTTGAAGACATAATAGTCTTGAAAACGGAATAAAACTGTCGAAATTCCAAGAAAAATCTCCAAATTATCCAAATTGACTGTATTGCTAGTCGTATCGAGTTCTAATCCTCTCTCATAAGGCTTAAAACAGCTTTATAATCCTGAAAAATAGAAAAAGAATCATTAAAAATGGGTTCAATCTCATAGAAAATTTGATTCTTACCTTTTCAGTATTCATTTTGAAGGCAGAGTAGTCTTGAAAACAGAAGAAAACGGTCGAAATTCCAAAGAAACTCTTCAAATTGTCCAAATTAGCTATATGGATAATCTTTTCGCGTTCCAATAGTCTCAAAAGTCTTGAAACAGCTTCATAAACCTGAAAAATAGAACAAAAAATCATTAAAAATGGATTTATTTTCATAGAAAATTTAATTCTTACCTTTTCTGTATTCATTTTGAAGGCAGAGTAGTCTTGAAAACAGAAGAAAACGGTCGAAATTCCAAAGAAACTCTTCAAATTGTTCAAATTAGCTATATGGATAATCTTTTCGCGTTCCAATAGTCTCTCAAAAGTCTTGAAACAGCTTCATAAACCTGAAAAATAGAACAAAAAATCATTAAAAAAGGTTCATTTTCATAGAAAATTTAATTCTTACCTTTTCAGTATTCATTTTGAAGGCAGAGTAGTCTTGAAAACAGAAGAAAACGGTCGAAATTCCAAAGAAACTCTTCAAATTGTCCAAATTAGCTATATGGATAATCTTTTCGCGTTCCAATAGTCTCTCGAAAGTCTTGAAACAGCTTCATAAACCTGAAAAATAGAACAAAAAATCATTAAAAAAGGTTCATTCTCATAGAAAATTTAATTCTTACCTTTTCAGTATTCATTTTGAAGACATGATAGTCTTGAAAACGGAATAAAACTGTCGAAATTCCAAGGAAAATCTCCAAATTATCCAAATTGACTGTATTGCTAGTCGTATCGAGTTCTAATCCTCTCTCATAAGGCTTAAAACAGCTTTATAATCCTGAAAAATAGAAAAAGAATCATTAAAAATGGGTTCAATCTCATAGAAAATTTAATTCTTACCTTTTCAGTATTCATTTTGAAGACATGATAGTCTTGAAAACGGAAGAAAACAGTCGAAATTCCAAGGAAAATCTCCAAATTATCCAAATTGACTGTATTGCTAGTCGTATCGAGTTCTAATCCTCTCTCATAAGGCTTAAAACAGCTTTATAATCCTGAAAAATAGAAAAAGAATCATTAAAAATGGGTTCATTCCCAAAGAAAATTTAATTCTTACCTTTTCAGTATTCATTTTGAAGACATAATAGTCTTGAAAACGGAATAAAACTGTCGAAATTCCAAGGAAAATCTTCAAATTATCCAAATTGACTGTATTGCTAGTCGTATCGAGTTATAATCCTCTCTCATAAGGCTTGAAACAGCTTTATAATCCTGAAAAATAGAAAAAGAATCATTAAAAATGGGTTCATTCCCATAGAAAATTTAATTCTTACCTTTTCATTTCGAAGACATGATAGTCTTGAAAACGGAATAAAACTGTCGAAATTCCAAGGAAAATCTCCAAATTATCCAAATTGACTGTATTGCTAGTCGTATCGTGTTCTAATCCTCTCTATTACGATATTAGTTGGCCAATGCTCGAATGCCTGACATTTTAAATGTCTCGCTCGCTACGCGAGCTCGACTTAATCGCTGTTAGTTGGCCAATGCTCGAAGGCCTTCGGCCTTTTCGCTTGCACAATCGTATTTTAAATGTCTCGCTCGCTACGCCAGCTCGACTTAATCGTAATTAATTGCCCAATGCTCGAAGGCCTTCGGCCTTCTCGCTTGCACAATTACATTTATTTATAAAGTTAAGAAATTGCAATTTGGATTGAAAAGTAAACAATTCTGGTAGAATTACACCACTATTATACCTTTACCTTCTTATTTAACTATCAATTAATATTTAAAAAGTGACAAAATAAAAAAAGAAAAATGAAAAAAAAATGACAAAAAAAATTGAATTTAAATTTATAAATATGTAATTAAAAAAAGTTAAAAAGTTAAGAACAGAAAATTGAATGTTAAGCAAAAAAAATATTTTAAGTAATGATTGAAAAAATTTTATGCAATTCACAACAATTGATAGTTAAATAAGTGTTAACGACAACTAATCCTCGTGTAGACGAGAGGTTCCCGCGTGATATTCGGTCGCGACGCGTCGTTCTAATTGGAACCTCTCGCGTTGCGGAACTGTCCCCTTACACAGATCGTCCTCACCAACGAAGATATCTTCGATGGCCATCGTCGTTGTCTCGTCCCTGAAGATGTCTTGCAAAAAATTGTCAATGTTATTGTCATCAATGTCGTCGTTCAAAAATTCGTTGTATATGTCATAGTCACTGTTATTGTCCCCCTGATAATTGTCTACGTCAGTAACATTGTCAATTCTAACGGAGTTGTCGTTATTATTGCCGTTGGTAACGATATTCGAATGAGTCTCAATTTGCTCATTATTTGGCGATTCGACGGAATTTTGAAGAGGTGCGCGATGTTGGGCTTTTTCGCGGGATATGTTCGAAAATTCATCCGACAAAACAACAGAATAGACGACATTGCGTGTGAATGATCTATTTACTCGATATTTAAAATGACCTTGTTTGTTGCCGTCCTCAATGACTATTTTGATGTTTTGTGCGGATCCAACGCGGGATAGTGCGACATACAATTGCCCGTGAGCGAAACAGGGAGTTTGCAAGTATACACCGACGCGCGATAACGATTGACCTTGTGATTTATTGATGGTTATCGCAAAGGCTACCTTCACAGGAAACTGCGTACGAATTATAGCTTTGGGTAACATCGATTCGGTGGAAATAATCCTAATTCGGGGAACAAAGACCTTACGGCCTTTATTCGAACCGAAAAGGATTTCGCACTCTATGATCGAGTCACCCAAAGAAATAATACGTAAACGGGAGCCGTTGCAAAGACCATCTTCGACGTCGACATTACGGAGGAGAACGACAATCACGCCTATTTTGAGCCGGAGCTCGTGAGGCGGCAACCCTGGTGACACAATACTGTCCAAAAAATCTAAGGTGGCAACGGCAGCATTTGTCGGACACAAAATTGCCCTACTACCATTGGCCGCATTAGTAAAATCATTTTGGAAAACGAACTCTATTAAATCGTCGACAGTCGGTAAACGTAAACGACTTGGTATTTCTATCAAGTCGTTCGGCAAAGTTCTACCCATAGTGGCATTTTCATTTAATTGAGCATACGGAAATTGGCCGTTACCAATGCAAAGCAAAAAATCGGAATAAGTGCGGTGGCCCAAATCGCTTTCTACTTGCGGATAATTCCTCGCGCGCATATTGGTAACCAATTGCAATCTCACGAAGGAATTCCACAAGAAACTCGATTTGAGACACGAATTAATGACTGAAAATTTGTCCCCGTTCATCACTATAGGAAGAGTTTGCCTGAAATCACCACCAAAAACGCAACATTTCCCGCCCATTCGTACAAGGGGTAAAATTTTAACGTTACAATAATCCTGAAAAATAGAAAAAGAATCATTAAAAATGGGTTCAATCTCATAGAAAATTTAATTCTTACCTTTTCAGTATTCATTTTGAAGACATGATAGTCTTGAAAACGGAATTTAACTGTCGAAATTCCAAGGAAAATCTCCAAATTATCCAAATTGACTGTATTGCTAGTCGTATCGAGTTCTAATCCTCTCTCATAAGGCTTAAAACAGCTTTATAATCCTGAAAAATAGAAAAAGAATCATTAAAAATGGGTTCATTCCCATAGAAAATTTAATTCTTACCTTTTCAGTATTCATTTCGAAGACATGATAGTCTTGAAAACGGAATAAAACTCGATTTGAGACACGAATTAATGACTGAAAATTTGTCCCCGTTCATCACTATAGGAAGAGTTTGCCTGAAATCACCACCAAAAACGCAACATTTCCCGCCCATTCGTACAATATTTCTGTTTGGTCCAATGTTGACCTTGCAAATGTCGTTTAAATAACGATCTACGGCTTCGATGGCAAATTTCGGAGTCATAGGACATTCATCCCACACGATTAACCCGACATTTTCGGCTATGTCTCGACTGAGCGGATGTTCATACGCCCAGCCGGGACAAGTCGATTCGGTCAAATCAATCGGTAGTTTAAACGCCCTATGAACCGTAGTACCACCAATTAATAAATTGGCGGCGATGCCAGTCCAAGCCACAGATATTACACGTTTCTTGAACGTTTCGCGTACAAAATTAATTAAGGTATTGTACAAATGAGTTTTGCCCGTTCCTCCGGGCCCGTCAATATAAAGGAGGTTCTCCTTTACGTTGACAGGTTTTCGTATCTCATCAATCGATACACCGTTCTCGGATTTTAATTGATCCAATATCTCCGGTGAGATATTTAAATTATAAATTGCCGCGATTGTTTTAATGCAACGTAAAAATATTCGTTTTTGGTCGGTATTTAACAACTGTGGATTTAACAAAGCACGTTCTCTCCTTCCTTCCTCCTCTTCTGTTTGTCGTTGAATCAAAGGCAAATCGTCGTCGTTGTTGTTCTCGCGACGGACGCGATCGTTACCATCGACATTAAAAACTAAACCACCGCTAAAATTGTCAATGGATGGAGGCATTGGTTCGTCGTCAAAGTCATCAGGTAAGTCATTGTCTGGTAGATCTGGTCGTATGTTAAATTGTAATAAGTCAATGTCGTGTCGGTTTCTTTGCACAACTGCTGCAATGTCTTCGTAAGCCAACCTTACAGCCTCCCGTGAAGGAATGCGCTGTAAGGTGACGTAGTCGTATGTGAATTGTCGTATGTATTTTGTAAAAAGCGGCCCCATAATGTCCATGTCCCCGTCCCTTGTAATGCAGCAGAGATGTGCAAAGAGTCGTCGTAATTTCCGGGGCTGCCTAAAGAGCGAAGCCTCCGACAAGCACCTATCGAAATAATTGTCGTCGGCATTTAGCAATCCTCGACGACGGCACGATTCCCCGAAAGTTTCAGTAACGCTAGCATCGTCGTCATCGACCAATCTTTTGAGATGTTCGAACGAAGTTGGGCCCTTTATTCTGGACAAAAGTAAGCGAAGGTACCACAACTCCGTCCGTTCATTCCCAAAAGGTTCGACGTTGACGACGCAACCTACTTGTTTGCTACGCTGACGTCTTGGCTGCCACTCCCCGGTCGATACATTCCATACATAGTGCTCCGGTATTTCATAATAATAGTATTGCCTGGCTCTAGCATCACATCGGTTCAATTGGAAGAAGGCTTCAAGCTTTGTCGATTTATTGAAAACATTTTCAAAATTAGCTTCTGTGAAACCTTCTTCCAATTCATCCAACATGAACTGTCTATCGCCAGGCAAATGTACCGGGAGCGCTATCACGGAATGTGATCGGCCTTGCAGTGGAAATTCCAAGATTCGCCAGGTAGCCTCCATCGCGCTAACGTAACGGAAATTTATATAATTAGAAATTTCATCAACGACATCCTCTCTCCTTTCTGCATTACCAGCCCCATTATTGTCCCTTTCAAGCCGTAACTCAACCGAATCCGGTTTTTTCGTTACGTACTTGTGTAGATATTTCATTGTGTAAATACTTCCTATCACTTCAGTAGTTAGGATATGTAGGTTCAAACGCGGAGGAAAATGATAAACCGGTTTTTCAAGATCAGGTCAAGCACCTGTTTATCATTTTCCTCCACGTTTGAACCTACATATCCATGCATTGTAAATGACCTTCAAGGTCAACCACCTAATATAGGCATTCGACCCTCAAGTCGCGGTTTACCCACCATAGGTTACTAAAGGACACTAGACAAGGTAAATGACCCTTAAGGTCAAAACCAGTTCATTATTTTCCCCCCCATTTACACCCCCCCAATACATGTATTTTTTCATGTAGGTGTTATAAAATAAAAAGTTTATTATCAATTATGTTTTATTTAAAACCAGTTAATTATTATTCTGTCTATAAATACTGAGTTCCTCCAATAATTCTTCGACATACTCGTCCTCAGTCCATGGGCAGAAACACATATCCTGCGGACAGTCGCAATCGGTCGAATTTGAGAAATCTATTCTAAAACAATACCATAAATATTCAATTATTATTAATTATTATTTGTTTTAAGAACTTACCTGATACTATCTTCCGTTATCACCCATCTACAACAAAAATAATAATAAAAACCTTGTAAGAAGATAGTTCTGAATTTAGAATTTTGTTAGACCACCGTCTAAATACATTATAAACCTATCGGGTTTTGAAGAATCATAATTTTAAGTATTTGTTGTAAGTAACACGGTGGTCTAACAAAATTCTAAATGCAGAACCTTCTGAGAGTTTTAAAAGTTTCAGCTTACTCGTTGTTTTCATCCACTGCATCCAATAATTTGCCATATATAGCAACTATTCTCATAATCATCTACGATAAAATATACATATTGAAAAACTTATTTAGAAAACGGTGATATACTTACAGTCAAAACGTCTATTACCCTAGCATAACCATTTCATAAGCCGGCGTCCAAAACTAGACAGTATTTTGTTGCAAATTTGTGCCGCAAGAATTGATTTTGTTGCTCCAATAGTTCTTGCAAAAACGCGGTTACGATAGCGTAATATTACGCTAGCGAAACATAGCGACATCTAAAAGTCCAATGAAGCTACCGATACGAGACAAACGCCATATTTTGTTGCTATTTTGTTGCTGAGGGATAGCGGTATTAGATTAATCAAAATATAATCCCTTCTCGGTGGGAGTAACTACCCCGATCCCTGGAAAAACATGATTTTATCTATCTCGAGAATCAAAACAGCTAGGGATACAAGACAAACGCCATATTTTGTTGCTATTTTGTTGCTGAGGGATAGCGGTATTAGATTTATCCAAATATAATCCCTTCTCGGTGGGAGTAACTACCCCGATCCCTGGAAAAACATGATTTTATCTATCTCGAGAATTAAAACAGCTAGGGATACAAGACAAACGCCATATTTTGTTGCTATTTTGTTGCTGAGGGATAGCGGTATTAGATTTATCAAAATATAATCCCTTCTCGGTGGGAGTAACTACCCCGATCCCTGGAAAAACATGATTTTATCTATCTCGAGAATCAAAACAGTTAGGGATACAAGACAAACGCCATATTTTGTTGCTATTTTGTTGCTGAGGGATAGCGGTATTAGATTTATCCAAATATAATCCCTTCTCGGTGGGAGTAACTACCCCGATCCCTGGAAAAACATGATTTTATCTATCTCGAGAATTAAAACAGCTAGGGATACAAGACAAACGCCATATTTTGTTGCTATTTTGTTGCTGAGGGATAGGGGCATTGGATTTATCAAAATATATCAACCCTTTGCGGGGGATAAGCACCCCTGTTCGAGGAAAATCGACATTTTACAATATTATTCTTTTATTGAAAAATAGAAGGAATAAACAATATGATAACCAATACGAAACAATACGAAGAACAATAAAAGATTATTATTCTAAAAGATTATTATTATTAAAATTATTCTTTTATTGTTCTTTAATGTACATAATTAGACGAGGTACAATATTTTTATTTTCATTGACGAATGTGGATTTGTCTTTCAAATCGTTGTATTCCATCCAGGAATTATTGCCTCGTCGGTATATAATGGCCGTGTAATGCCCACTTTCGCCAGCATCAGTTTCGCTCGTACATCCAGTATTTACTCGGCCTCCGTAGAACGCTACTATTCCATGGACCAACAATTTTTGTTCTGGCTTTGCCGGATTAATAATGTATTTATGGATATTTTTCAGTGCAATTGGAACACTCATTTCTTCTGAGTTGTATATCTCAAGTAGAATCGTATTACCTAGGACGTGAAATTAAAATTAGTTTAGATAGACTTTCGTTTAGATAGATGTAATTAATCATTTACCAATCTCAGATATCTCATGTGTAACCCTTGGTTCGTTTCTCAATTTGTCAGTACACTGGCCTCTGTTCTCCGCTTCTCCTGCACATTCTAAACATGGAGAGGTACTCAAGAAGGAGCATTGCTCGATTAAATTTTCACCTGTACAGGTGGCAAAAAGCATATCTTCGATTGTCAATGTCACCAGTCTTCTTTCTTCACTATTCAAACATATTTTACAAGTTGCTCTTTCAATTATGCTGGGGCAGCTCTTATACAATTCCTTGGCAATCCAACCAATTTGTGTATCGCAATCACAATAGTACATATCCCCAAAATTCGATTTTTTTAGTGCAAAGAATTTGCTTAATATTTTTCCTCTCAAAGTGTATGTATTAGCTTGTAGGCCATTTTTCATAATTTCTTGAATTATGTTATCAAATTCTGAGTCTGACTCGTGAACCTGGAAAAATATTTGGTTTTATTTTTAGTGATCAGTAAAAGTTCTCGAACGAAAGTAATAGTTTTCCACGCAGTGTGCAAAGAAGACATTTTCGTGCAAGTAAAATAGTATTTCTCTTTATTAACACAAAAAGTGTGGATTCAGCCGATCACACGAGTTAAGAACCAAATTTTTAATGTGTGAATTAGAGTTTTATTAGCACACTCTATGTGAAACACGTGCTTCGCGCAAGCTTTTCCGCACACTGCACGGACTTTGATTTAATTAAATATTAAATTTGATTACCTGGTTTTTAATATGATCGAAGTCACAGGTTGCCAAGAGTTTCAAATATAAAATACTGTCGAAGGCACAGGTATTCCGAAATGAAATTTCCTTGCCGTCCAATTTCAGGTTAGCCAATTCCGAGCGATTCCCATTTTTTATTACTGAAATAGGCTTAGTCTTATTCCAAAATAAAGAGTCTCGAACATCATCTGGTCTGAAACCAGAATATTTTGCGATTCTCCTATATTGATGTTTTTCCTTGTAATTCTTATTTCGATCCGGCGGAAATGAATTTTTCTGACTCGACTCAGTATTGTCGCCGTCATTACTTTTAGACATACTTGCGCAAGCCACGCATAATCTCCTTTCCCCGTAACCTTCTCTTCCTCCTATAGAGACGGAACAACCTTGGAGCACATGCACTTTGTTTTTGCATTCAACACATTCGTGTGCTTCCCCAGGAAAGTTTCCATCTGCACAAGCTATGCAGGTGAGAACCGTTGAACAAGTCGCATTCAATTGCGTGCGTCTAATTTTAATTGGTCGAGGGTTTCCCTGGTTCCGCCAATTTTCCACTTCGTTCAGAGCTTCATTAGTTTTATATCTTAAAATTTGTGGCTCTTCGAGGCTTTCGGGGGGGGATTCCGGTGAATCAAGATTTTTATCAAACTCAGCATGCACAAGGAGAAGCTTTCCTTCTAAATAATTTAAGTGTTTTTGCACAAATGCATCCACGCGAATAGAGTGACGAACATTACCCATAAGATCATTTTTAATTTTATTAAACTCGCTTTCTATGGGAGCGCTGGATGCCGGAATTCGTCCATCTGGATAGCTACTCGCTAAAATGTTGCCCCATATTGGGAAAATTTCCAAATCTTTTAATAATTTTTTTGTTAAGCCTATTTTGTCCATATAGTATGGATTCACGCTGTTTCCTTCTTCATCAAAAAAACTAGATGCTTCTTGGTAAATTTGATCGCTCCATTGACCCCAATAATTTTTTGTTGGTGACGAGTTTTTAAACTGATTGTAGTGCTGAACTGACTCAGATTCATCGTTTGATTCAAGCTCCGCAGCGTCTGATGAACCTTCGTTATTTGCATCATTACATTCACTATTGCAATCAATAGTATCATGAAGTCTATCACCTGCACGGATCAGTAATAATTTAGTAAAATATTTGGTAATACAGGGTGATTCAGATTATATCTGGATAACTTCGTGAGTTGATAAAATATGCAAAAATAATGTTAGTTATGCAGAATGATAAGAAGTGTTTCGGTGTTAAATTTAAAATAATTCGGAGAACTGATTCAAAAGTTAAGAATAAAAAATATTCAACTTCAAACTAAGAGGTTTTTGAAAAAAATCTTTAGTACGAACTAACATTATTTTTACATGTTATATCAACTGCCGAAGTTATCCAGATGAAATCTGAATCACCCTGTATAATTAGGTAAAATCGAAAAAAAAAATTAGAAAAAATTTAAAAAAAAATTAGAAAAAATTTTAAAAAAAATTAATAAAAAATTGATAGAAGGTAGTAAAATTGAGTTGTATTATTTTTACGCACTAATGCGTCAAATCAGTTTCATGCACTTAAAAAGGTGCTCATCAAAGGTATGCAACGTGTCACCGGTTATTCGCACACACTTTGACCAGATACATGAAATCGTCGTTCCCGCACTAGTTTAACAATTTACCACTATTATTTAACACTTACTTGTTACTAGATTTTCAAGATACGTCATACATTTTTGCGCTTCAGTATTTTGTCCATTTCGTAACGTCCCGACTGTTTCGGAA